TGGGCAAGCAAGCTGATGAATTCTTAACAAAAATAATCCCAAGATAAAAATCAAGCAACTCTTACCCCCTTTCCCCCCTCAGAAAACCAATTTTGATGCAGTACTTGTAATTGCCAAGAAAGGATACATCTCTGATCCCCATGCATCTTTCTAGGGTTAGTGTTGATGGTTAATGCTTGCACAGCTCAGTGCGTGGAGATCCCTGCCCTTGGAGTCCAGGCTCAAGAAACATCCATGGTAGCTTTCAGTGGGTGATAACAGTAAGCAAAGCAGGCAAAGCTTGTTCAGATTTGTGCTTTGCAGCATTAAGTACACTCTTGATATCAAGAAATAAGTAGCTGTGGAATGAAAGCTCACACTGTTACAGATTTTCCAAATCTGTGCTGGCTATGGGCAGGTTTGCAAGCAATTTGTTGATACTGCTGCACATAAACCTATTCTTATTTGTACTAGAGCTGCTCTTGTATTTTTACTTGCAATTCCTATTCTCAGTCTGGGAGTTACTAATCCCTATAACTTGGATGCCATTTTTCAAAGGTTAGCTGATAAAAGTTGACAGGAGTGGACTTGTTCTGTACCTCTAAAGGTTGGTATCACCAAAAGGGCTGTTGGTTTGATTCATTTCGTGACTGGCCAAGATACTAAAATGAAAGCCATTGCTGCAGAGCATGTATCAGGTTGTTGCAGTGGAAAAATGTTCTCTGGGAGTATTCAGTACTAATTACTAGAAGATAAGTATGGTAACGAGTGACTTGATATTTTCGGAAGACAGGTTGCTATGCAGTTTCTGTTAAATTCAACAAAGTGCTAATTGTCTCTGAAGATCTTTTCTTCAGTTATTTGTAGGCTGAAGTTTTGACAGTGCTGTTTACACAGCATTGGCGTGAGAATCTGCAGGTTTTATGATTGTGTTGCCTGTGAACTTCACTGCCAAGTACACTTGCTCTGCAACTCGGGAAGAGCAAAACATCCAAAGGAAAGGTACAGTTCAGGAGGGCTGAGCATGAGTGTTACAGAGGCAGAGCAAGTAATGTGGGATGATATTGTACTGTTTTCTTACTCTGTGGTTGTCTGTTTGGAGTCTGTTTGAACGCTTGCCCAAAGAGCACCCATAAATACTTGTGGGAAGTTCTCCTTTTGGCCAACAGCATTTCTATTTTACTGGCTAATGAAAATCTGCTGCTTCTCTTGTCACTGAGATCAAGGGATGCTCGGCTAAAGTAGTCCTTCAACTTTTCTGTTTAGACAGGGAGATTTAAGAGTATCCTGAATTAGATGGGGTTGTGGGGTTTAACTTTTTTAAACTACTTTAAGCTTATATGGGGAAATTGTTTTAAGAAAAATAACTATTGGGGAAAAATTTAGAAGGGCAGTCAAAATGTTTTCTGGGATTTTATTACAGCTTGGGTTTTTTCTTGTTATTTCTTCTATTGTACTTCAGTAAGCTCAAAGAAGTGACTGAGTATTTCTTGATTTATTGGAGGGTAGAAGTACTTAAGAAGATAAGACCTTAGAAATAGCTTATAATTAAGATTAGTCATTATTTATATTATGGTCTTCATTTTCTTTTGCCAGTGCATTCCAAAGCTTTCACTTTTTAGGCTGTGAGCTTCCATGACTTTTCTAGTTTTTCTTACCAAGGTGATTATTTTGTTAAAAGTAAGATTAAACAAGAACAAAATGACTGCAATTCGTCATTGTAATGGAGAGATTTCTTGCTCATGTCTAATTCCAAAATGTCTGGAGAGAAAAGTTTAATACCTTCATGGAATTAGTTTTAGAACCTTGAAGAGGTTGAATGAAAACACAAACACTTTCTTTGACAGATGTAAATTGTAAGTAATTGTTTGTGGAGTGCTTGAATACTGTAATGGTTGTGTAGGCCATCTAAGTGGTTAGACAAACATAGGTGGGCAAACAAAAGAATGAGAAAATAAACAAAAACTCGATGCTAAGAAAATACAGTGAATAGATAGAATTCCAGGCTGAGGTGGAGAGTAAGCTGGTGAAGGGTCTGGAGAACAAGTCTTATGAGGAGCGGCTGAGGGAACTGGAGCTGTTTAGCCTGGAGAAAAGGAAGCTCAGGGGAGATCTTACCACTTCCTCCAACTACCTGAAAGGTGGTTGTAGCAAGGTGGATGTCAGCCTCTTCTCCCAAGTAGCAAGAGGAAAGGGCCTCAGTCTATGCCAGGGGAGGTTTAGATTGATATTAGGAAAGATTTCTTCACCAAAATGGTTGTCAAGCATTGGAACAGGCTGCCCAGGGAAGTAAGTGATGGAGTCACCATCCCTGGAGGTATTTAAAAGATGTGTAGATGTGGCACTTGGGAACATGGTTTAGCAGTGTTCGTGGCAGTTTTAGGTTAATGGTTGGACTTGGTGATCTTAAAGGTCTTTTCCACCTAGATTCTTTTGTGGCTCCCTGATGGATCTGTGGAGATGCTGGGTTACGAGGTCACTCTCCTACTTTATTCCACCCACTCACTAAAGGTATGGAAAACTCCAGGGTGTGGCAGGATCTCTGTGTCAACTAGCAGTGCTGTGCACCGAAACTGCTTAATATTGGGTCGCCTGAGGGGGCCTCTGGGAGAGTATCAATGGTAGGAGTGATCCTATTGATGCTTTCTATAAAGGCCAAATGCAGTTCACACAGTTAAATGTTGCTACTGGGACAAAAGTAGTAGATCAGCAACATTCACTGTTCTTTGTAATATTCAGGAGCAAATGTAAATGCCGATGATTAATATGCCTGCAGCATTTCTTTGATTTGGAAGTTCGGATCACTCAGACTGCACTTTGTCCATGTGCTATAGCTCTCTTTGATAATAGCCAAAAGATGTGTATTTTAACTTTCACCATTATGTCTTGTTTTCTTTCCCACAGCTATAGGAAAACTGCTCTCTTTATCAAGGGTACTGAAAGAGAAGACATATTTGTGTGGTTTTTTAATCCTGTCATTTTCATCATAAGCATTTCCTTTAGTAGCTAATAATATTTAGTATTTATTTCAGTGACTTACATAAATCTCAAATGCATAAACCAGCAGCATCCTTTTTTCTACTGGCTTTTCTTGTGGGAACTTGTTGAAATGAGCCATCTCATTGTAAAGCTCCATTCCTGGAATGAGGAGGATTGTCATGCTGTTCTTCAGGTGGTGCAATAAGAATAATTGGGAGGCCTGTTTGCTTTGATTAGTTAATCAGGGAGGATTATCAGTTCCTCTGAAAGATTGATAGTATTTTGGAGGACAAGCTTTTGAGAACTTACCTTGTGCTTCAGGTTTCCATCAAGTTTTGGAGCAGAGTCCTTTGAAATTACTGATGTGGATGCCATTGTTGGTGCATAGACTCTTGCCAGATTTATGTTGAACTTTGAGCTGGGGACACAACAGAGCATAGGATCCTGGTCAGAGAAGGCCAGTAAGTCTGCTGGCTGGAAGGACAGGTCTTAATTTTTTGGCACCTGTTTCTCAAGTAGGACAGGAGAGGTCATCATGGTTCATGGTCCTTTTGTTTGTCAGAGTAGTCAGGTTGCACCTCCAGTCTCTTCTTCCCTTCCTAAGCTCTTAACTCAGACCAGACACTTTCTGTGTGGGGTGGTGTCTACTGTTTGCAGTTTTCCCCACTGTACCCACTTGCTCTTTGAGTCAGTAAATCATTTTGGTTTTGTCAGGTGGCCTCTTACATGGAAACTTTCTCCAGTGTCCAGTCTCTGTGGCTTATCTCTGGAAGCAGTACCCAGAAAGAGGTTTTATAAGCTCAGTGTCTTACCCTTGTTTTGTTAAAATACTTGCTTATTTTTAAAACCATGGGACCAAAGGAGAGAGGCTTATATTAAACAGTGCTGATATTATCTGGAAGATTTTAATGCGTGTTGCTTTACAGATCACTCTTGGGCTAAGGGCTGGAATTAACAAGGTGAAAGAGGAGATAGAGAATTACATTAAACTGGGCACAGGGTCTATGTCTTCCATTTTAAACATTCTCTCCAGTTACAGAAGGAGCTGCTGGCACTGGCACCAGAGGGGAAAAGACCCCCCTGAAAAACACACTTTCCATTTGGGGTATATGTTTTTGGCCTTTTTTTGTGTGTAGGTTCCCAGTCAGAGCCTGTGAGATGTAAAAAATCCTTGGAGGGTTTTGCATCTGGTTAAAGGAAGAAAAAAACCTCTGTCTGAACCTGAAATCGTAACAACTGGCTGCCCTCAGTTCATCCTGCACTACAATGTGAAGTCTTATTGTACAGCAAAGTAACAGGAACACATCTGGATTTTTTCCCATTGGGATTGATATGGATCTCATTAATAGCAGCTTTGTAGTCTTATCTGTAACTGTTTTTCAGTAAGTGGTATTAGATTCTGATAATTGTGATTTTCTTTTGTATACAATTGTACAAATTCACATCACGGAGCTATACCTGGGAGCACCTAAAGCTACATTATCCTGTTTCACTTAGTATAAGTAAAAAAAGCTTATTCTCTGGTCAGATGAATTACACTGCTTTGACTACTAGGCAAGCTTGAAAACCACACAACTGTTTCTTGAACAACTTCCTACAAGAAGGAGCATGCCAAGGTAAATTGTTTAGGCATTAGGAATTTGTGCAATGGAGAACATTTCCACCCTCACCGTTTTGGCTTTTTAGTTAGGATGTCCATCTTCTGACTGGTGCAAATTATGGTGTGGATTCCAGCCAAAAAGCCTTGTCTAATTTCAAACTGTTCAGAGAACTGTGCTTGCCCAGTGTCGCCCATGCTTTCAGTCCCTTCTTGTTTTTACTTCAGATTTCAATCTTGTTTCTAGTTCTTATCTTCCTATTTTCTCAACAGAACTGTAGACTTGATTTGATATTGTCATTGCTATGCCAGTTTTTGTGGCAAACCCAGATTGTGATGACTTAGAAAAAAACAACTTTTGTAAATATCTGACAGAAAATTCTAAGAAACATCACAGTGGACTATATGCATGATTGTCTTTGAGCATCAACTTTTATAGCGTACTATGAAGCTGAACAATTTACTTCTTGTCTTTGTTTCTTTGCATTTAATTATCTGCCTGTCTTACGTGTTGTAGGCAACTGAGGCAACTGTTGGTGCAATAGCTTCTACAGACCTTTTTTTTCCCTCACTTTTACTGTTTTGCTTTCATTTCCTGTTTGTGTCTGAAAGCAAACTTATCCTTTGCCTTCATTTTCATTGGGGAGGCTTTTTCTGGAACACCTTAAAGTCACTGTAGGGAGTTGCATTGATGAGAATTGCAACCTACAAATATTCAGTAATAATGAGTCAGGACAGAAAATGCATGCAGTTTGAAAATAATGGTTTCTTTTTATTCTTCCTCAGGTTTCTGAGCCTTTGTTAGTTATTGAGCTCTCATTTCCAACTGTAAGACTAGGAAATTTTTTTTATTTGCTTTGGGTTTTTTTAACATGAAAGCTGAGATTCTCCCAGGAGTGTGAAATGAGGAACTGCATCCTGTAGAACTTTCCAGAATACTGCACTACATGTAAGAAAATCAGAAGAGCTGACAAGACCTCTGTTGATGCTAAGGTGTGTACTTTGCAGCAGATTAATAATTTCCATATCATTTTAACAGGAAGTTTTTGTCTGGGTTCTGAAATAGTAGTGATCATTCCGGAAGTATATCAGCCTTAAAAAAATAAAGACTCTCTTCTTTCAGAACAACCCATCTGTTTCAGTAAAGATGCTTGAAACATTGACATTTCTTCTGCCAGCATCTTCACTCCAATAAGACTTATGCAGGAAAATTTCCCCAAGCAGATTTTTGACCTGGAGCAATATGCCAGAGGTGAAGGAACATCAGGCATTCAGGAACTGAATGAATTAGAAAGTCTAGTCCCCTGTTTATGCAGACACCAAATCATCCAACCCCTTCCATAAACTGACCAAGCTTCACCTCAAGTCATTTGTTTTGTACTTTCCTGTCTTCCTTTGCTTCCATCACAAGGCTGTTTTGGAGCTTACCCATTTTAAATGTTAATGACCTTATTTTTGTCTTCAGCTGTCTGTATCGTGATCAGGTCATACTCATTTGTCTGTTGTGCCTATTTGTTGCCCTGTGCTGGATGTCGACAGAGCAGTCACATCTGTTCTGTGTTTGTGCTTGGCTGTGCCAAATAGTATGTACATTTCTGGTTTAGCTGATGCTAGAAGACTCTTTTTCATCATTGTGCCCATTGCGCCCTACAGATGTACCAATTTCTTTTCAGCTTTCTTGACATCCGTGCATAGAAATTATGTGCTTTTTGTTCTAGATGGAGGAATTAAGTATTCCAAGCTCCTTCTGCAGTGGCATTAGTACTTGTTATGAAAGCCACTAAAAATTTCACTGTTCCCTTCAATGCTTTGACATCTGAAAATTTGTCTGATACAGTAGGATAACCTGAAGATAGATACAGACATAAAATAATGTCTTAGGAGGAAACAGGGTCAGAGGGTTTTGAAACAGTGAAGTGCAATTTGTTGTGCTCTACCGTAACACTGCCGACAGCTCAGGACAGTGAAAAATGCCAGTGGTGCAGGGATGAGCAGTGAGTAGAAGGATTGCTGGCAATGGTGTGGCTGTGGATTAATGTATCTCTGCAAGTAGAATAGAGAGCTTTATGGAAGCAAAGGGCAGTCACTGCTTTTTAACGGACTGGTTAATTAGTATCTATAAAGAAAGAGAACAGGTCAATGATAGAAACTGACCCATCATCAGCAGTCTTCTGGAATGTATATTAGATCTTCACCAGATCAGATACCCTGCCTTTTGGGAATGCAACATTGCACAGCAGCATTTAGCCTAGATGACTGCTTTCCTTTTTCATTAGAAACAGCAGTCTCCTTCCTGACTCCTTCTGACCCAGCAGAATGTGAGCAGGAGCAAAATTCTGCTAAACTTTGGCCAACTGGCAGAGATGCTGGCTGGCATCTTCCATGTGAGCTAACTCTGCAGGGAGAAGGATTGGACCTTTTCTCCTTTTCTCCTCACCTCATTTTTTATTTGCACAGAAGGCTTTGAAAACTCAGGCAGTAATTACAGCCTGCGTTTTGCTCACCTTCATCATGTTTCCAAATACCATGTAATCACATCTATTTGGCTCAGTTCTCCCTCAGAGCCTTGAACACCCCACCTGGCTTTTGGTAGGAAAAACTAGCTGTAATTCAATCTTGCATCTTAGACAATAACACATGAGAAACAAACTATGGCATTGAAATTATGTTAGGAGGCTTTTAAACTAACATCATTCTACACTAAACTAACATCATTCTAGAAGTCAGCTTTTCACCCTTGCATAATTGTGTTTTGGTATTAGAGGTTTAGATGAACAGTGACAAATTTTGCACCTTGTCTTACATGCTGCACCATGAGGCTGGTCAGGACAAAGTTTCTGCCTTGTCTGAATTTTGTAGCTTTTTTTTTTTTCTTTCCCAAAAGGAAGCCAACCTTTAAACCAAGCTTCTTGTTATTTTTGTGTGTGCATGTGTGGGTTTTGTCTGAAATATTTGGAGAATCAGTAGGAAAGTCTGAGGATTTCATTAAAGAGGGCAAACTGATTTTTTTTTCTTTTTCTTTTTAATGGCAAACTGATTTTTTTTTTCCCCTCTTTAATCTTTACAGTTTTTCTTGAAACGTTCCAGTCCTCGTAATGATTGTTTGCATTATATAGGTAAGCTGTTCAGGGTACTTTGTTGGGCTTCATGCCTATCAGAAAAGTAGTCAGTTAGCAGGAAGGACTGAGCTGATATTAAATCAGTCTTTGATTTTGTGTATTGGTGGTGCGTAAGCCCAAGATGTTAATGACTGCAGAAAGGTTAAACTTTACGTGTCTTCCTGTTTATCACAAAGATGCAGGGTACAAACAGAAAGCAGTCTTGGCAGGCAACAGGCTTGCAAAATCCATGTGCTGCTTATTTACAGTTGTGTTTGTACTGAAATTTGATTACCATATATGAAGGTAAATATGTAAAAAGCACAGGGAATCTGGAGGTCTTGATTCCCAACTGCAGCAGACTGTAGCTTGGGTACATGGTCACCTCCTAGTAATGTTAGTCCAGTGTAAAAATGGTTTTAAAAGAAGATTTATGCAGAGCTTCAAAACTTCATCTGTTTAATTTTTCCCGCTTAAAAGTAGACACAGCTGCGGCTAACCCATGCCTAATAGATGTAAACCTGTTCTTAAAAATAATACAATAAAATCAGAAACCAATGTAGGTGATGTGAGTTCTGTAACCAGTGTCCTGGCAATAGATTTCAATGTGTAATAATGCTAAGCATAAGAGACCTCTTACTAATGCTTAATTTAAGTTTCCGTTGCTGCATTTTAGGCCTAGGGCTACTACTTCCGTTTGACAGGGATATGGAGATACTACCTTACTCTTTTGCAGCAGCCTTGTAATATTTAACAGCTTACTGTGTCTTCTTTCAATTTTCTCTTCTCTAGACTAAAAAAATTAATTTCTTTCTAGCTTTCCTCAGACATCATGTTTTCTAGACTTTAGATCTTTTTCACAGCTTTCCTACAGCTTTTTTCCAGTTTATTCACATTTTTTTGCGTGAGGCCCAGAACCAGACATGGTCCTTGAGCTGATGTTTTCAGATCCTGAATAAAGTGGAATGCTTAACGGGTTTTACAGCTGTGATAGTTATATTTTTCAGTTATGATAGGATGTTTATCTTTTCTGCAATAGCATGACAATGTTCAGTGTATGAACCAAAGCTCAGGGTATGGGAGGCCCTTAAAGATATATTGGAGCAGCTGGTCTGGCTCTAAAAAGAGCAGTGAGCAGGCAATGGGGAAATTCCTGCACCATTGAGTTTAAACAACCTACTAGATGATGGAGAGCAGAGAGGACAAGAAGGCTGATGATGCTCTAGAGTGCCTCGAAAGTATGGAGCAGTCATTCCCAGGAAAGGAGACTGGAATAACTAGGATAACTTCTACATTGCCTGTGGGTGGGTAAAGGGTTTTTTGTTCAGTGGACATTACCTGGCTCTTCCTTTGCTTATGGAATAATTTTTTTTGCAGTGGCTGTGGCATTTACTGCCCCCTCCTGTGAGAATAACCATGGTTTACATCTCACGGTCCTTCTTGCAGAGCTGCAAAGGAGCAAGTGATTACACCAGCTCAGTAACAGACAAAAGCCAAATGGTAGTTATTGGGAAAGGGCAGGGAACAAAGCAAAGCAGTGTTGTACTGCTGCATAATTCAGTGTAGTCTATACAGAGAATGGCCAAGTAGTTGAGGACTTATTACCCTGAAAGGGACAACTGTAGGTTCACTTGGGGTCTACAGGCAGGAATAGCATGGAAGAAGATGGATAGGGGTCAGTGGCTTACTGTTTCTTTCGGAAGAAGAACGAGGGGTCTGAAATGGCAGTGGTAGGATGCAATGACCAACCATTCCTCAGTGCCAAATTGTCTTTACCATATTCACAAGAATTACAGCATTGTTTAGATTGGAAGGGACCTCTGGAGATCATCTAGTCCAGCCTGTGATTTTATTTTAGCCCTTTTCTGCAGTTTGCTAAGATCAACTTAATATTTGGCCTGATCTCTACATTAAGGTAGATTTTCTTCTTGCAGCCATCTGTTTTTTGGCTCCTTTGTTTGCTGATTTAGGAAAAGAAGTATTTTGGTGATAGGATGGGGTTAATCCTTATTAATGTGGTTTCTTAAATTTTTCAGCTGCTTGAGGAATCTTCGAGCTGCTTGGGTTTTTGACAGAGGATTTACGTCAATGAGAAATGTGAAATCAGGGCATCACAAACCTCCTCATTCCCTGTGCTATCACACCATGTTGCTCCCCAGAGAAGGGAGGCAAGAGAGAGAACATACATCTAGGTCTCACTAAGGAAAAAGGAAAAGGTTATTTTGGATTTTCTCCCCATACTTTTATAAATGCTCCTATCAGAGCTAATTATTCAGTGCTAGAGTGCCTTGGCCATTTTATTAATAAAATTGGTAGATTTTGTGCCTTCTGTCTAACCATGGATGCTTTTGGGCATAAGCAAACACAAGATAGAAGTGTTGCCAGAACAAATAAGTCATTCTTTTGTGGGTTTGGGGTTTTTTTTGTTTTTTTTTTCTTTTAAAAAAGGTGGTTCATGTCCTTTTAGAACTGTGATATGCAGGTTATGTACAACATTGGGCTCCGGCACCATTTGTTTTTTAACTTCAGTTTCCAGTTTTCCATTGTTGCTGCTCATTCTCCCTAAGAATAAAATAAAAGAACAGGGTGGCTTAAGAGAGGGAAGGAGGGAGAGGTAGATAGGAAATGCCTGAGAAATAAGACCACAGTGGAGCTTAGTGGCTGCCAATCTGCCTTTACTTAGTGTCATGATTTGTAGAAAGATGGTGCTGCCATCTCTACTCTTCCAGGGACTAGGTCTTATCTTCCTCCCTCCTTGCTAAAGCTAAAGTCTATCAATCAGTTTATTTTACTTTCTCTCTGGTCTAGCATATTCTCTTCCACACAATTATGTATTATGTATTTGAAAGCAGCAGGTAGGAGTAAGGAGCAGATTCCAGTCAAGATTATATGTCTGAAATTGTTCAATAGTGAGTAGTGGCAGTGCTAGTCTAGGATTTGCAAGACACTTTGGGAAGTTAGTGCTGCTGATGTTGAATGCTTCTGCACACGTCAAAGAGGAGTAGCTGTGAATGGATCTGTGTATCAAGGACAGAATGGAAAAGGTTGGAAAACTTAGCTGGGAAGCTTCTGGCAGGCTAGTTCAGCCTTCCAGGTAGAAATGGTTTGGGGTCACAATTCTTCTTACTTGCCAGGGAGAAAACAACTGGAAATGTATTTTTTTGTTGTGTAAGCTGGAATCCCCTTGGCACAAATATATATCACACTTACTTGTGCACATAGATTCCTGTTAAAGAATAGTTTTCTGGCAGTACGCTTCCTTTCGCAGTGTGCAGTGACAAACTGTGTTAGAGATTTTACTAATGTCTTTGTATAAGGAACACACACTTGAGAGCTGGGAGACATTTGGACTGCAACTTGTAATGAATATATACAGCATTTAGTCTATTTAGATGTAATTTGTTGTTTTATCAGGGATGCCATTCAAACTAGAGATTTAAATGCTTAGTATTTCTCTCCCAAGTCATGCAGCTTATAAGTGTGTGCCACAGGCACCCAAATTTCTCATCTTTTCAAGGCTGTCATGTGCTACGAGGTTGCATTATGTCTGTTCTGGAATTTGGGGTGTTGTAGAGAGAAAAAGCCTAAAATTTACATCTGAAGAATCAAAACTCTCCCTTGATGTGCTGTTTGGACACAGAGCACAAGCGTGCTTCAGGTCTACAGCTGTGGGTGTAGATGAAGCTAACCTGCCCTTAGGAAGCCATGACAGGTGACATGGGTAAAATGCAGCATCCTGCATGCAAGCTGCTCAGTGGATACAGAATTTAACATCATTCAGAAGCATTTACTTTTTCTGTTTGACAAACTCCCACACATTCCTTGGAATGTATTTTAGATGCTCTGCAGAGAGCATTCCCATGGCCTGTTTGAGGCATATCCTGATATTTCCTGAAGGACCCTAGAATATGCCAGATGGGCTTCACAGCCAAAGCAGAACAGCCATGCTCCTGGAGAGGTCTGGCAGACAGCATTTCCCTGTCGCTGCTGGACATCGGTTCTGCCCGCTCTGATTTATTGAGGTGCCAAAGTGCTTTTCATAGATCATGAGCTTACGGCATTCATGATTTCTTAACATTTCCAAAATGGAATTACCTTCAAGATTTATTGGAGCTAAATATTCTCTAATTTGCTCCTTTTTACCCCATATGGATTAATATTTCTCCCAAAACTGTTCCTCCCTGCTCTTAAATGAAGCAAAAGTATGAATCAAAAATCAGTTTCCCTACCTCTGTGTACATTAGTGTTAAATGCTACCAAATAACAGTAGGTAGTCTAAGGCTATATTGTGTTCTTTGCTAAAAAGTCTTTAAGTTTGCTTGTAGTAAATACAAATAAAAAGGCCAGTGGTCACTTCACCCTTCTCTTTGGATATCATTTTGGTTCCCTGGTCGTCAGATGCAGAAGGGACATCACAGAGCATCAGATCAGTCCTGCTAGTGCTTCAGGTGATCTGGGGGACTCTAGAGACCTTCCTCCTGGTTTTACCAGTCACCTTGTAATGGGGTATCTGCATTAGGGATAGACCCTCTGTACTCCATGTCAGATTACTCTGTACTGTCTTACTCTGGTGTCTGACTTGTAAATAGGAGAGTTGATTTCATCTATAAACAGTACCAACTTCTGAGTTGAGTTAGGCCTGACCTTACAGCCTGTCCCATCTTTCTCATGTAATGCTCTTGAACAGGTGAACTGAACTGGCTGCATTTTTTATTTACACTGCACTACTTTGCAGTGGTATTGTAGGGAATCCTCTTGATTCTTGAGAGGAGAATAAAACTTGCTCATATTTTTGAAGCATCCAAGTTCTTCCTGAAGATCATGTCACAGCAGCAACCAGAGCAGCTCGGTGATCTAACAAACTAGCCCAAAGCTGCTGGTCACCCCCAGGCCATGCAATCATCCTTCACTGCAGCTGCTGCTTAGGGAGAATTGTGACTGTTCTATGGGACCTGGCTTCTGGCCTCTGCTATTATTTCAAGTGGTAGCTATAAAGAAAGAGCTGTGAACATCTGTGCTGTAGCCATTCAGGTTATAAAAGGTCTTGCATTGTATGAGAATTCTGTAAAGATTCCTCATATTGATGTTGGAAGAAGGTGGAAATAAGTCCTTGGAGACCCAGCAGTGTAACAAAATACTTACACTTCAGTGCACCAAGGTGCTTGAAAAAATGTTCAACAAATTTGTCAGGTTATTAAAGTTTTCAGACTATTATTATATCCTGGAGCTTGGTTGGTTGTTGTTTGTTTTGTTTTTAAATAGGCCTTTGGGTTTTTGCACTTTTACTTAAGATCTTCAGAAGCTCCAATATATCTAACACATCTTCCCTATCTTTTCCCAGACAAAGCTACATAGATCCTTTAGTATCCTCAGCTCTGGAAAACATTTCTTTCCATCTAGATCAGCCATGTAATCTGTTCATCCTGCTCTTAGAGTTACAGATGATCTTATTAAAGATTGCATGAGTGGGTGTGAAGCAGTATGCATGGGTGGCTTTGAGTTTTCTTGTTTTGTTAAATACTCTTGTCTCTCTTCCTGCTCCAAAGCTCTGATTTACTGAGCATCTGTGATAGGACTATACTTTGAGCAGTTTGTCATTTGGAATTCATTCCATCCTTTCCTCAGTGTGCTACTGTCTGAAATTGTTGCTCTGTACTTGGCTGTGGCATTGTGTAGATGAGTTTATCTTAAATCAGGTAGTTCAAGTCCAAAAGTTATCTGATTGCAGTAGCATGGAGTTATACACTCAGTGCAAAAACAGCCTGAAGGGAGGGTTAACTCAATGCGTTACATCTATCCTGTTATAGTACCTAGGTTAGTCAGGTTGTGTTTATTTCAGATACAAGTACCTGGTACTTGCAGTGTGGCTGTAGTGGACACGTGCTCTCTGGCTCTGAACATGCAGTACATTCACTTCTTCATTTCTATCGCATAGTGTGATTGATATTGATCCAGAACATCCCTGCTACTGTTTTGGTATGATTGAATGAACATAATATTAGCATATTTTCTAGCAATGATCTTCATACTCACAAATGGTTCCATATGAAAGTTGATATTTCTGCAATTTCTCTTGCTAATTGTTTCCTTCTATCTGGCCACTGTACTAATTTTTTCTAGAAAAAGACACATTTTTAGTAGCTGCTGTGTTTGTCTGTTGAGGGTGTAATTAGGATATTGTATTCCCATAATGACACGGTTAAGAAGGACAAGTTCTCTTCTTTTGTAAGTGATTTTGGATAAATCTGTTTGGTTTGGCAAGGACTTCTCTTGAGTCATTTACATGTTAATGAATGCAGAAGAAAACACCTACATCTGTACTGAATTTCCCTTCTCTCTAAACTTAAGTGCTGCTTCATGATCTCCTGAAACATTTCCTTTCTTGCTTGTGTTATGGTAGCTGCTGTGTGTGTGCATATGAGTGAGGCAGAAGCAGCCATGAGAGCAGATAACCTCAGCCTTGCTCTCCACATGCATTCACACCTGCACAGAGCAGCACACATATATGTAATGAACAATATAAAGACAACTCTGCACCCCTTCCTTACATACTCATATAGACAGCACATAAATTGGCTTGTGCTTACAGAGCTGGAAGTTAACTGCCTAAACTCTGGTTGCAGTTTACAACGTACTGTATCTAAATTAATAGCCAGACAGTAGTGGGGAAGTTCTAAGTTGTTGACTGGAAGTGATTGCCAGGCTCACGACTTGCCTGATTTGGGTGTCCTCGTGGCACAAATTCTGACAGATTTGTAGGGTTAAAGTAGAATCTTCCACATTACTGCGGAGAATGTAGAATCGGCACTTAGGAATGGATTCTCGCAACCTCCCTACAGAAATTTATCCTTCTTACTTCAGGAGTTAATTTCTCTCTCATTCTGATTTTCTCAGGTTCTCGAAGCCGGCACCAATGTTCTTGGATGATTCCTTCAGGAAATGGGCTCGTATCAGGGACTTTGTACCCCCCTTTGGAATTAAAGGACAAGGTATGAGAAAACTGTGCAGCTGTTGGAAAAGAAGGTGGCTTTGCAGCTGCTTTACCCATCTTGTTCTTACGTTTTGAAAGCTCAGGTGGTCCCTTGGGCTTGGCTTTTTTCCCCTGTTTGAGAGAAATATTGTACATATAGCTCTCAGAAACACAGAAGGGTTTTTGCAGCTGGAACGTGGACCTCAGAGGTTGGTCTTATAGAATCATAGAATAGTTAGGGTTGGAAAGGACCTTAAGATCATCTAGTTCCACCCCCCCTGCCAGGAGCAGGGACACCACACACTAAACTATGTTGCCCAAGGCTCTGTCCAGCCTTTCCTTGAACATCTACAGGGTTGGAGCATTCACAGCTTCCTTGGGCAACCTATTCCAGTGCCTCACCACCCTCACTGTGAAGAACTTCTTCCTTATATCTAACCTAAACTTGCCCTGTTTAAGTTTAAAGCCATTCCCCCTTGTCCTACCACTAGAGTCCCTAATGAAGAGTCCCTCCCCAGCATCCTTGTAGGCCCCCTTCAGATATTGGAAGGCTGCTCTGAGGTCTCCGTGCACCCTTCTCTTCTCCACGCTGAACAGCCCCAACTTGCTCAGCCTGTCTTCATATGGGAGGTGCTCCAGTCCTCTTATCATCCTTGTGGCTCTCCTCTGGACTTGCTCCAGCAGCTCCATGTCCTTTTTATGTTGAGGACACCAGAACTGGACACAATACTCAGAGTGAGGTCTCACAAGAGCAGAGTAGAGGGGCAGGATCACTTCCTTTGACTTGCTGGTCATGCTTCTTTTGATACAGCCCAGGTTACGGTTGGCTTTCTGGGCTGCAAGCGCACACTTGCCTGCTCATGTCGAGTTTCTCATCAATCACCACCTCCAAGTCCTTCTCTGCAGGGCTGCTTTGAATCTCTTCTCTACCCAGCCTGTAGCTGTGCCTGGGGTTGTGCAGACCTTGCACTTGTCGTGGTTAAACTTCATGAGGTTGGCATCAGCCCACCTCACAAGCGTGTCAAGGTCCCTCTGGATGGCATCCCTTCCCTCCAGCACATCAACCGAGCCACACAGCTTGATGTCGTCGGCAAACTTGCTGAGGGCGCATCAATCCCACTGTCCATGTCACCGACAAAGATGTTGAACAACACAGGTCCCAACACCAATCCCTGAGGGACACCACTCGTTACTGGTCTCCAAGTGGACACTGAACCGTTGACCACAACTCTTTGTGTGTGGCCATCCAGCCAGTTCTTTATCCACTGGGTGGTCCATCCATCTTAGGGATGATGGTTTAGTACATGGAGAGAATCAGTACAACAGTGGCAATTTAGACCTACCACCACATTCTGGAAGAAGCATTTTGACATTGGCTGCTGTAGCATCTTTGCTGACAGCAATGAAAGGTCCAAGCTGATTTAAAGTACCTTTAAATTAGTAATTCTCTAAAGAACAGGAAGGACCCCTCTTCCTAAGGAGCCTTAGGTTTGACCACTGATACAAACCTTCATTTTCTTTTCATAGTATTTGGTCATATAATTATTTTATAGTTGTACTACTTGTCAACTTGTATAACAAATAGGAAAAATCTGTTCAGATGCTTTGGTGACAATTTGTAACATGCCCTGTCCTCCAGCTGAAGTGTGGCAGCAGGGTCTGTGTCTCAGGTATGCTGTGTGGAGAGCAGGAGTGGTGCTAGTGGTGATTAGGTGGGAGCCAGTAGCCCACCCAGCAGAAGATATGTCTTGCAGGTGACCCAAGCTCCTTGCTACCCCATATGTGCTACCAAAGGCCTCTCTGAGTGAGTGTAGTGGTGGTGGAGAATCCTTATGCTCACCACAGTGATCTGCTGCAGACTTCCTGAAGTCTGATATTGCCGAAGTATTGAAAAGTCTTTGTGGCATTTCATCAACCTCCAAGGTTTTTCCCAGTGGCACACTCAAGATTACAGGTGGCCCCCCTGGGAATTTAAATACCTGGTGGAGAAAGAACTGCAGCCACAGTGGGCTTGGGTCTGTATCTCTCCCTGGAAGCAGGTGTTGTAGTTGTCAGAACAATCTCTGATCAAATTAAAGACTCTACTGACAAATTTCTCTTGGCTTGCATCAGTTCCCTTCTTTGTTTTGTACATGTCCCTTCCTTGTCCGGTCGGTCTTTTGCAGCTCAATAGGCAACTAATTACTGTCCTCTAAATCAGCCAGCAGTTTGCAGCAGGGAAATAACAGTGGCAGCACCAGTGGAAGGCTGTGTTGACCATAGCTGGGCTTGTGCCCTTCTAAGAGGCACACAAGGTGTACAAGACTAGGGCAAGCTGCCTGACCAACATGGAGGTGGGATTTGCAGATTAGAGGTGATGTCATCTAGACCTAATAAAAATCATTCTGTTAAACTGAATCCAAATAGAGAAATTCACCAAAAGGGGATGACGGAATGGCTCTGGCAGCCTTCTCCCTGCGTTTGGTGCCAGCTTGTATCACCACTGCAATGTTATGTAAATCTGATGTTTTGTATTGGTTTCCTCAGTTAAAAAGAGAAATGAGAAATTGCCATTATTTAAGTGGCTGTGAGCTGAATCCATGGGACGGAAACCGTTGAATGGGTTATTTTTTTTAATGCCCTCCTGGGACTGAATTTTGTGCCAAGTTTCAGTCTGGAGCAAGTTCTCTGTGTGGGAGGGTTGAATTATAAATCTCTGTAGCCCAGGATTTCTAATGGCTGTGCTGACAGGCTGTGAGTCCTAGTGATGCGAATGGCGCCCTTTCATGTTACACATCACTTGGAATTCTTGCATCAGTCTTTTCTGGCCATCCCATGGGATGCATTCGGGCTCAGCTGAGTGATTGGATGATGGGATCAGCACCTCATTAGGGCTTTCAGTCAGGGCAATCTAATGATATCCAAACAACTGATCCAGGCAGGCAGCATGGAGCTCAGTCACGTGCTGGTGTGAGATGAAGACTATCAGAGCCGGGATGTGCATGGGAAAACGAGTAGACGGGGTGGCTGAGAAAGTGTAGAGAGATGCCTGTGTTGAAACAGATGGGACAGGAGTTTTTCTCCGTGCATTATGAAGCCTTGTGACACCATCAGCTGGGATTTCTGACGTGCATCATACTGGGAAAGGCGGTTGGTGTTTATAGATACTGACTACAGCTGGGTTGGTAATGGGAAGATTTCCCTGAGAACTGTGGTGAATATCACCTGGTGTTTTTGAGACACTGTGATCTAGTCCAAGTGCAAAATGGCTTTTTGTGCGTGTGTGTGTGTGTGTGTGAAATACAGCTAAAAGATGAGCTCACTTTCAGTAATGATGCATGTTCCAAGAAACTTCTGGAAATTTATCTGTGGTAGCTTTAAAGTGCTAAAGTTATGAAATAAAGAGTTTCTTGAGAGCTCGGAGGCTAATTCACCATTTCTGCTTTCTCTTGTTAAAGTTTCTCTCTGTTCTTCAGACTTTTAGCTAAGCTTTTCTTTGCTTTGTCTCTGAAAAAAACTGAAATAAGTCCTTTTTCATCCATCATCAGGTGTTTACTGGTCCAAGAAAGAACAATTTCAAGATTGCAAGAACAAGTCTTGCAGTCTTTAGGGGAAAGCAGCTTTTGAGGAGCATTGTCTACTGAGCTGCACTGATTTGGAGTATCACGTCTTTATAAATTACATGTAAAACAGTAGAAATGGCTCAGAAATTTTCAGGGCAGGACTACCATTCTTTAAAGGTGATCATATCAAGGAGTAGGCAGCATGCTGATCATTTTGACACAGTTCATCAGGGATCTTCATTTTCTTCAAAAAGAATGTGATTGTAAAGACAGTTCTTCCATCTTGAGATGCTAAAAAGTACTCAGTATAACATAGAAAGCCTAACAGCGTTGCTTCGTAAAACAATGCTCACTGCTTTTGTCCACTGGTCATTTTCTGGTTTGGCCGTTAGCCCATGCCAGGGAGTTTTACGACCAGAGTGCCTCACTCTCTCCAACAGCATTTGTGTGTAGAAGCCCTCAAGGTGAATATGGTTCTGAATATGAAAGTTTTTATAGACTTTCCCCCAAATGATGGTGGTTCTGAAACACTGTTGCAGTAGGAATAATGCACATATCATAAGAGATTGGAAATTCCTGCTATCATTAGTTAACCACCTTGGTGATTACTTGTCTGCTAAAGAAGCGCAGGAATAAGCATGTGGTGACCCTAATGCTTCATGAGCAGGACTCTGAGATGAGACACTCAGTGAGAGGTCTTCTGCAAATTCTTTTTGAACAGTGGTCTCTTAGTGACCTCTACAAGGTATTAGAAATAGATGAAGACTGCACTTACTTGAAAAAATGGGACTGTTAGTGCCATGTTGAGCTTGCTGTCTCCTCTCCTACTATGTGACTTGACAGAATCTAGAAATGGTTTGTGCCACTGTGAGTGCTTGGAAACGATAACTCCATCTCTATTAATAAATAAAATGTCTGTCCTCTGGTCCTGAAGGCAATTGAGCTCATTGTTCAAACAGGTTAACTCCCTGCCCGCCCCCTCCAAGAGTGTGGTTATATCCAGGCTTCCTATCAAGAAAGGTCACTGGCCTGAATTAGCTTGTGACCTTATAAATGCATGAGAATTATTGAGGGGAGGATATTTGGCCCTGCTGAAAACCATCAGGGACTATGCTAATGTTTTAATAGTGCAGGCTCATGTAGAAGAGTGTGGGCCCATGCCCTGCTGCTGATTTGTTTATTAGTGTGTATATAGCCAGAGGCAGGGATGTCATTCAGGAACACGATGAAATTAGTCAACTGTAAGAGTTGTTGAGAAGATCAAACTGTAACAGAAAGTTGGAACTCCAAAAGCTACAAATGTCAAGATGTCCTGTGGGGGGACAGCTCAGGCTGCCGAGCACCCTTCTATGTCCCAGGCTATTGTTTCAGAATTAACTGGAATGTTGGAGTGCCTCTCACATTTCACCATTTGTGAGGGTCTAATTTGCTTATAGGAATTCTTCTCTCCCAGTGCCCACCAAACCTGCTCTTGCAG